TTTTTTAATTTTCTTTTTTGTGGTGCACGTGGCGGGGTTTGCACATAGCGAGTTCGATCCCGAGAGAGGAGCTTTTTTAAATTTTCTTTTTAACAGTCGCTGTTTTGCTTTTAACACTTTTAACACTTTAAAACTAATTGTTCAAGCCCCGACGTATGAGTTTTTTAAATGTTCTTTTTAACATCCGCTGTTTTGCTTTTTTAATCAGATGTGTTTTCTTCTTTAAGAGGTCTCGTACCAATTTCATCAACTTGGGTAATATCATTTCAACAACTTCTACCTCAATAACGGCAGTAAAACCTTCGTCAGCCGAAATGTCAGCTTTTTTTAAAAGCACTTGTTTTACTCTTTTCTGGTCCAAATCCATTGTGCTGTAGGGTGTGACACCATGAAGAAACTACAAGTAAACCCCTTCGTCTACTTTCTCGCCATACTCTTCGGCTCCGGCTCCTGGATCGCCTTCAACGGTTTGTGGGTGGAGCTGCCAATCATCGTGCAGCACGCCCCGGAGGGGTGGAGCCTACCGTCTTACCTGTCAGTCACCCTCTCCATGGCTAACGTCGGACCAATCGCGTTCACGCTAGCGAGCGTGTTGGCACCCGGGAGAGTCAGCGTGAAAGCGGTGGTCTACACTATCGTGTCCATCGGAATCGTGTCGTGCGCGCTGCTGCCATTTTTCTGGAATTATACCAACTACATAGCAGGCGCGAATCGCAGCGTGGCATTACTGGTCCTTGCGTTCTTACTAGGAGTGACGGACTGCACCTCCTCTGTCGCATTCATGCCCTACATGGCGGTCTTCACCTCCCCCTATCTAAACCCTTACTTCATCGGCGAGGGGATGAGCGGCCTGGTTCCGAGCTTGGTCGCGCTGGGGCAAGGCGTCGGCGGGAACCCTGACTGTCACAACGTCTCTTTCGTCAACTCCACGGTCGTCGACGGAGTTCTGACGAACATCACAGAATACACCAACGTGTACGTCACCAAGGACCCCAACTTCCCAGTCGAGAATTTCTTCTGGTTCCTCTTCGCCATGATGCTGGCGTGCGGAATCGCGTTCCTCCTGTTAAACCAGCTTCCATTGGCTAAGAAGGAGCAGGTCGACGCGGCTATCAGGTCAGCCGAACCAACCGACGGTTGCTCCAACCCCGGTTTAGAAATGGAGTCCGTGGAAACGAAAGGTTCCGTTGAGACCTCTACCGCTAAT